CATTTCATGAGATCTGCAAGGACAATCACCAGTGACAGAGATTCACCCGCTGTAAAATGCAAAAGAATTTGTTCGGACTTCGGCTACAGAAAAAAAGAGACTGCAACCGGACCCATGCGAAAACAAGGATAATATCGGAAGGACAATACATGTAGTCACGCAATGCTGACATTGTTAACATTAACAATTTGAGAAAAAAAAAGTATAATTTGCACGGTTTTGCATGATATGACTTATAAGCAGTGTTGGGGAAGTTACTTTTAAAAAGTAGTGTAACACGTTACTCGTTACTTCTTTAAAAAAGTAATCCGTTACTTTACTTAGTTACCCCATATAGAAAGTAACTTTTTACTTTACTCGTTACTTTTACGTTACTTTTATGTTGCTTGACTTTGGGCAGAACCCAATATCTGTTCCTAAATGTGTAGGCCTACATAAAGTTCTACTATGCATAATGCCATATATGTAAGCAATAAGGTACGAGAGGCTGTGCTGTATCGTGAATAAGTAACGGCTGGAGGGCGTTGTTAGGCACGACGCGAAGCGGAGTGCCTGCAACCCCTTCAGCCGTTACTTATTCACGATACAGCACTTGCCTCGAGTACCTTATTGCTTTTATAAAACGGTTGCCACACAATAAAAATATTAAAGCCGAAAAATATGTATCTATGCAACTTTCATGAAGTAAAATCACTAAAAGCCTGCCTTCCGCTGGAAAAAATAGTCCCGGAACGTGAACAGCAACAGAAGTTACATATATTATTTCGCCAATAGATGGCGGCAAAGACTGTCTTTATGAGTGAGTGAGTGAGTGAGTCTGTAGAGAAGGCTTTTGAAAGGACTCGAACTTGTGATCACGGAGAAGACAGACGCAACTGACAGATGACTAACGTTATGCACGGAAAACCCCATGACTGTTAAAAGGACAAAATATGCAGCGGACATTCTAACGCATTTTTTTATTATGAATATAGGACTGACCTGAAGGAAAATGCTACGTCTACTGTAAATGCAGGTACACTCGCTTACTCGATCTCTCACAATGCTCTGCTCTAGCTTTAAATGAACAATATCAATGAGATGAAACATCTGTTTAAGTTGCTAAGAGTGGTTGCTAGGGGTGTTGTGTAGTGATACATAGAACCGTTGGGTGAAGCGGTCATAGCCGTGTTTTATCGTGAATAAAGCACAGCTATTGACCAATCAGAATCAAGGATTGGAACTAACCGTTTTATAAAATGCCATAAATGCATAATGCATTTTTCAACAAATTTTATATTTATGAAGAAATGCCGGTTAATGGATAGGCATATGCATGGGCGGCGCTAGGGAGGGGCTAGAAAGAAAGCCCCCAAGAAAGACCAAAGCACCCCGTTAGCACCCCCAAAAATCATTTCTGGAAGTAATTATATTCAGGCTGTATTCTATGGAAGTCCTGAACCGCATGGTGAAGAAAAAATCTTGTTATTTAGACATAATAAGGGGACATTCTAATCTGCATTAAGCCAAATTAAGCGTTCTTATAATGGTTTTCTATGGGAGGAAAATGCTTAACGTGTAAGTAAACACGTTGCGTTCATATTCTGGGCTCATCTGATTTTTTGTACATAGTATAGCCTACTTTATTATGATTTTAGTATCATAATGATTGATAAATGCACGCACAATTATCCGTGAACTTGATAAATGTTGCAGATATGTTTTACTATGCACGTAAACAAATGCCTTTCAACTTATGTGTGCAAAATTCAGAATTAAATGAATGTGCAGCAATATACAAATAGAGAGTCTGTAGGCCTACTATAGCCTACGTGTTGTAGCCATTAAATAAGCGCATTTAGTTTCATATTTGTTAAAATATTATAATGTTATTTTTTTTCTATCTATGCTGATTATGAAAAGTGAACAGGGCGAGTAAGATGATGCGCAATATATCGGGAGACATTGAGTCAATCAGACATGATTTTGACCACTTCATTAAGTTTTGTTTTGAAGAAAACCTTTCTTTAAAGCGAATTTCGTTTTGTATAAATTGTATCTTAATTTTAATAAATTTTTTATCGACCAAATGCCTGCAAGTAAGAAGCAAATATAGGAGACAATATAATCATGGAAGCGCCGGCGTGGTCACTTGCATTGCACGTGAACTGGAGCATCTCATCATAAATTAACCGAAACTCAACGTATAGAATTTAAGCTTGAAATGTCTAAAACGAAACAATTCAAAACGAAAAGAAATAGGCTACTCTCTGATTATGTAATCCATTATGTGCATTTCTCTCTGGGGCGCTCACTACGGAGATGGCGATCGCGGTCAAATCTATCAAATGACGGAGATCGCTGTCAAATAGGAAAGTAACGTTGCGCCAAATTGAAAAAGGAACTACATTTCGTTACCAAATTTTCAGTAGTAGCGCGTTACACTACTTTTTACCCGAAAAAGTAGTTATGTTACTGTAGTAACGCGTTACACACAACACTGCTTATAAGCGATTGTTAGATTTAATCAGCGCGATTTACTGCAATATCAGAATCAGAACAAAGGTAGATGTTTCTTACTAGTTCAGATTACATTTCCCGGTGAAAATTCTTATGTTGGTCATACTTCCAAAAAGAATAATCTGTGATTCTGAATCTCCACACCGGCGCGGTGACTGACAGTCTCCTCAAACACTGTGTTCATCCGCGCTGTGCCGTGTCGAGGGTGTTGAAGTACAACTCACGTTAAGTTGATAATTCCGCGAATGACTGCAATTGCAGATTTCGAACAGAGATGGCGACAAAGAGGAAAAACGCCCCTTCTTATACTATCTATGAAAACGCCGGACTGCAGCTTTAATGTTGTTATAAAAACATGGATTTAATACAAATAATCTGGTACACTATGTAACTTAAATACAAATCTTCACAATAGATCCTGCTTTACAGTGAACTCCGTTAAGGAGCTAGTTTATCTGTTCAATAAAACACTATAATCTCCTGTTGAGTGATAAAAACGTCGCTTTTACAAAGTTTCAAATCCCTCAGTTCTCAATCTCTGAAAAGCCAATTAATGTTGATTCTTGTTTTATTACGAGCTCTGTCGCGTTCTCTTTTCGCCAGTAGAAAACGTGCCTTGGATCTGAAGCCTTCAGTGTTTCAGTGAACGGATTCATCAGCTATTAAAGGCAGGGTAGGCAATTTTCGGAGAGGCTAGCATTAGCAAGCTAGCTTTGAAAGCGTAAGATCTCACCCTCCCTTCAGAGCGTCTCCAAAGCCACGCCTCCTTCAAAACACATGTGCGTACACCGCAGGGAGCGAACAAATGCGTCACGAGAGACGGCGTTAAAACTATGTCTCAAAGCACATAATATAATAATAACTAGAGTAAAATTTGTCAGGACAAACTGATGTTGGGTTGATAAAGCCATATGAAAGTTTTGTAAGCCTTAAATTTAGTGAAATGAAAGAGACAAAAAGTCGTTGCTAGTATGAATTAACATGATGCTAATATATTCTAACATGAATTAGCATGTTGCTAGCCTGTTTTATTACGTTGTTAGCATGAATTAGCATGTTTTAGCATTGTTGTTAACATCACTTAACATGTCGCTAGCATGATTTAACATGTTTAAGCATGTTACTGGCATGATTTTGCCTGTTGCCAATAATGACAGGCAGGTTTAGGACATCGTATCATTGCATTCGGACCGCATTCACTGATTGGACGAACATTTAATGGTCCTACGCCTTCCACATGTAAACACATTTAGACCCCTTACTTAACTTAGTGACTATCAGCTATCAGGATGTGAAGAGACTTTCAACCAGCATAACAAAAATGTTTCTGGAACAAATCACCTATCCTGCCTTTAATATGCTAAAGACAAAAGACAAAAGCTCATTGGGCGTCATTGTTTAGGAATGGACTTAAATTGCCCTGCATAAAAAAAGCTTTGAAAGGACAATAGCAGGACAGCAAATCACACTAGAGACGATTAACTACAGACCAGCTCAATGTGCCTATTAGAGAATTTAGCTACAATTTTACATTTGATGTTATATAATCTTTTATCTGTGTTATAGCCTACTAATTGAGAGGTAAATGTCTCTATGTTTTAGATGAACGCTTTAAAGCTATTGATTACATTGGCGAGTGCAGTCAGTGGTGAAATAGGTTTCACGAGTCGATGATGTCATGATTAATCTGCTAAACCTTGTCATGAATGCTTTAGATTTTGAATTTAAAAATCATGTTAAATAAATCGTGGTATTAATGAAGAAAGTTGCATTAAAATGCTGATTAAATTTTTTCCGAAAACAGTTCTATTGGAATTCTATTAATATTTATTAAATTCAACATGTTAAACTGTTTCTTTAAACAAAGTAACATAGAAACATTAACACTGGTGTCAATAAATAAATAAAACGGTGTCTGAAGTTTTCAGATTTTTTCTTTAAATGTTTATCCTATATTAATTTATTATGATTTTACAATAACAATAACGACAGGCTTTTTAAAAGTCAAAACATCCAACCAAGCAAAAGTCAAAACAGAGCCGTTTGTACCTGACCATCAAAAATGACTATGAGACTATGAGTATTAAAATAAATCACATTTAGATGTTGCCACATTTCTGGTATTTCTACTATGGAAACAATGTTTACCGTGGTAAATATTTGTTGATTTAGCATCAGTCATCTGACTGCTGTTATTTCGCAGCGTTACCGGCCTGTCATGACCCTCATTATCTCATGAATTATTCATGACCTGACCGGTTTATCAGCGCGCGACACACACACACACACACACACACAACCTGCCGTCTCAAATCACCCGCTCACGTGGAAACGCTTCACCAGGGCGACAGAGGGGGCGTGAACTGTCTCCTAGGTGATGCTGCCACACACACACACACACACACACAGGAGGAGGGAGAGAGAGAGAGAGAGAGAGAGAGAGAGAGAGAGAGAGAGAGAGAGAGAGAGAGAGAGAGAGAGAGAGAGAGAGAGAGAGAGAGATAGAGGAGGCAGGCCAGGCTGTTTTCGCATCCTCTAGATGTGGATTATACCTTGTTCTCGCCATGGCAGCATTACGGCACCGGTAGCAGGGGCTTCTGGGAGATCAGATGCGCGGGTTTGAGCATCATCTCTCTGAGATGGCCGTGCACGCGTGCAGCTGGAGGCAGGGATGCATCGGGGTTTCTCAGGCGAACGGGAGCCTGCAGTGGGAGGCTGACTGAGTTCACACAGGCACACAGAGCCGCTTCTCAGCTGGAGAGGCTGTTACATTCATCAACACACAACGGCAAGGTAAGAAAACATGCGTTTTGACATCCATATGCACGCTGTGTTCATGCACTGAGGTGATGCTGATTATGCTTTGTGCTGCATCGCTGGATAAAGACACACACACACACACACACACACACACACACAGAGACAGACAGACAGACAGACAGAGAGCGGGTGATGGGAGAAACCAAAAGCACAAAGCTTAGACGACAATGAAAAGGCTTGAGAAAAGAAGGTGAAGCTCTGAAGGACTGCGTTGATGTGGAAATGCTTTTACGTTCCCTCACCCTCACCAACCCCTCATCCTCTCTCTCTCTCTCTCTCTCTCTCTCTCTCTCTCTCTCTCTCTCTCTCTCTCTCTCTCTCTCTCTCTCTCTCTCTCTCTCGTGCGCGCGCGCACATTTGCATGGATGAGGGACCTCAAGGTAAACCTTTCAAAAATGGCTGTTTCTGAGCAGTTGACCCAATATAATGATGTTTTGAGGGTTTGATATATTCAAGTTGAACGTTAGGGCATTCGAGGCACCTTCAAAAGCACGCCTAGATGCTCTTCTAAGGGCAATTTGAGGAAATCCGAGTATGTTGTCATTTTTTACATTGAATAGCTCGACCAGCCTTCATCCAAACTCCTCAAATGGCCCAATAATGACATTTCTTTATGATAGCAAGCGGTTGCATATCTTACTCTGCATGTGAAACAGAATGATAGTCATTTAAATCTTTGAAAATGAATACTTTCACAATCTTGGCTGCTTGATTGTTTATATCATCGCACAACTCTCTATATAAAGTTGGATATATTATATCCAACTTTATCCACATACATAGAGTACACTCAATTAATATATATAGCAAATCTCAATTACTTGATATTATTTTTCAGCTCAAAATTAAACTACATTATCATCCAGTTGTTCTTTATATAAAGTTGGATATGTCCAACTTGCGTAGGCCGATACTATTTACTGCAGATCTCAACTGATTGCTTGTATCGTCCGTCGCATTATGTTGCCCAGCTGTATAATATAAAGTTGGATATACGTATGTAGGCCTATATATTACATAGTGTAAAAGCAATATTACATACCAAATCTCAACTGCTTAATTGGATGTATTGTCTCACAGTGTAAACTATATTATCGCCCAGCTGTGAAAATGCAACTATAAGGCATGAAGATTTAGATATTATAAACATTATCATCATGATTTTCTGTAAAGCTGCTTTGAAGCAGTGTGTGTTGTGAAAAGCGCTAAACAAACTTCTGTCATGAGAACTCTCTGAGGGTTTGGCATGGTAATGGATATGACGAAAAATGTTAATGTGTTTGGTCTTGTCGGGATAGATCTGCTATTGCCAATACACACACTACACACTAAGACATGCTTCTGCTGTGCAATATAGCGTACATGAATTAAGGCCCTTGCACACGGAGTCCGAAATTTTCGCACGTTAAAAACTAGCCTGGGAAAACCCAGACAACTTCCGGCAAATTTAGATTTGCTCTGAAAGTTAGTCTGGCGAAGAGCTCATTCAAGCCCATTTCCAATCCGCCGAAATTGCGGCACCAATCAGAAGCGTTGGGGCGGGCTTTACACGATGACGACAGCGCTGGGATTTTGAAGCAGATTTTGTAGCCTACATTACAAAGATGGATGCCGCCGTCGAACATCACTCGTTCCAATCAGCTATCGCGTCTGTTTTAAGCCATTTGAACGTTTCCTTTTAGTTAAAAACCGAGCAAAGAACAACACTCGGAGATGTTTCTCCGCCGCTCTGCATACGTCATCTCCTTCATCGCTCTGATTGGGTTTAGGTCTATCCGCGACGTCCGTTGGTGACGCCCCTCTGGAAATGATATGTCTATGACGCTTTGCCAGACCATAACTCAGTTACAACTGAGAATGCTCTGGTTTTAACCAGGCTAGTTTAATGTAGTACTGACACTAAAACTCTAAAAACTTGAATTTTTTGTCACATTTTGGGTGAACTATCCACAATACATTGCATGCATTTTTGTATTGCGATATATTGCAACACGATATATTGTCCCACCCCTAGTTCACATAAATAGGACATTTGTAGAATTTGCTATTTGATCAGTAGATTGGCAGACATCTGTGCAAGTGCACATCTGTGTTTTGGTGAGATCTCCGCGTTTGGATGCTGGTTTGAGGTCTTCTCGTGTCTCGTGTGTTGAAGTGAAGGTCTGGGCCGTTTGCTGCTGTCAGACTGTGTTTATTCTCCTTCCCACTCGAGCGATCATGTGAACTGATCTTATTAGACACTGAGCTACACAAACACCACCAGAGACGGCCCAATGCTGTTGCAGTGCTACTGGATATTTCTCTCTAGGATGAGAGGTATTTCAAGAGGACATATTATGCTATTTCACATGTTCGTGTGTGTTAGTGTGTAATGTTGCTGTTTGAGCATTAAAAAAGCTCCAGTTCTTCTCTATATCAGTGTTTCTGAACTCCTGAAACGCCTCCATTGTAGTCTTGAGTTTCTTCCGGGAACGAACACGTCACAATATTCCTCATTATAATAATTCATACGCAGAATAAAGGGGCGGGGCCTGGTTGAGTTAGTTAGTAGTGTGTTAAACTGGTGGTTATGATAAGGGGCGGGACATTTCCAAACACACTCGAAGCGCTCGACCAATCACAACACACTGATCCAGCCGACCAATCAGAGCACAGTGTGCTTTTCAGAAGGAGGGGCTTCATAGAGATATAAAAATAATTTTTTGAAGCTGTGTGTGAAGATTATTGAAGTACGTTTTATAAGAAAATACTATTTCAGTCTTTCTACTTCAAAATTTCGTGTTTTATACGATGTTTCTTTGTAATTATTTCTGAAATTAGCGATTTCTAAATCGAACACCATTTTTTTTTTATGTTGTTGCAACTTTTTGCCTTTATTTTTTTTAGGATAGTTTTCGTGAGGGTTTGAACATATTTGACATGCATCACTATAGTTGTCAGGTGCCAAAGTTGCGTGTTGTAACATCACAATGCATTCTGTGATGGAGAGCCAGTGTTGCTTCTCCATCCCTCAAAATTGTGTCCTTGTTGTATTTTTGTATCATGCATGTAGTAATTGTTCATGTTGGTATTCACTGTTTTATGTCCCGTTATCAGAAGAGTGGGCGTAACCTAAGCATGTGGGAGGTGAATGGGGGAAATGCTCATTTTAACTAATTTAGGAAATATCAGTTGTGCAACTGACAATATTTGTTTTTCTCTAGCCTGTATGTTTTATTGATTGATTGTTTTTAAACTCTTTGTCGTAACTATCATTGAGGGAACTTTGCTGAAATGTAGAGTTAGTTTTACAGAAAATGGTATGTTCCAATTAACTAAAGGCGGGAAAATTATGCATTTAAGTTGCATTTAATTATGTTTATTAATATTTATTTAATTATTAATGCATTAATTATGCATTTATTCAGGAGTGAGGCAGCTTAATGCAAAGGTTGTGAATGCTACTTCTCCAACAGTTAGTGAGAGAAGTTGTTACTAGTTTTGAGACTGTTTTTGTGTAACGTTTGTTTTTATTATCAACTGTTGTATGGACCTTTTACACTACCTTGCCTTTGAAAGCATTACCCTTCTGTTGGAACGGCCTTTAAACGAATAACTGGTGTGATTCTTCTTGTGACCACTCGGGTCTCTATCACACATTCGAATTACTGTCGTAACGTGGTTAAAATCCCTAACGAGGACTTTTTAAAGTCGATTATTTCTCCACGACAGGAATGACATTAAATAGAGATTTTGGCTTCAATATTCCGCCTTGCAATCAAAAATCACAGAACCCGATATATGAACTCATTAAATTATTTAAGCTGCTTTCAACATTTGTTTTATTTTAAGCAGTATACTGTACATACAACTCTATCCACTGAACAATACAATTCTCCTTTATCTTCTAAAGGGTTAGTTCACCCAAAAATGAAAATGATGTCATTAATGACTGTCCCTCATGTCGCTCCAAGCCCGTCAGACCTCCGTTCATCTTCAGAACACAGTTTAAGATATTTTAGATTTAGTCCGAGAGCTTTCTGTCCCTCCATTGGAAATGTATGTCCGGTATACTGTCCTTGTCCAGAAAGGAAATAAAGACATCATCAAAGTAGTCCATGTGACATCAGTGGGTTAGTTAGAGTGTGTTGAAGCATCGAAAATACATTTTGGTCCAAAAATAACAAAAACTAGGACTTTATTCAGCATTGTATTGTGTTCCGGTTCTGTTGTGGATCCGCGTTCAGTGCCGCCGCTGACGTAAGACGCTGCTGACGTGTGTCTGGTGTGTGTGTGTGTGTGTGTGTGTGTGTGTGTATTCTGGTTCTGTTGTGGATCCGCGTTCAGTGCCGCCGCTGACGTAAGACGCTGCTGACGTGTGTCTGGTGTGTGTGTGTGTGTGTGTGTGTGTGTGTGTGTGTGTGTGTATTCTGGTTCTGTTGTGGATCCGCGTTCAGTGCCGCCGCTGACGTAAGACGCTGCTGACGTGTGTCTGGTGTGTGTGTGTGTGTGTGTGTGTATATGTGTGTGTGTATTCTGGTTCTGTTGTGGATCCGCGTTCAGTGCCGCCGCTGACGTAAGACGCTGCTGACGTGTGTCTGGTGTGTGTGTGTGTGTGTGTGTGTATGTGTGTGTGTGTATTCTGGTTCTGTTGTGGATCCGCGTTCAGTGCCGCCGCTGACGTAAGACGCTGCTGACGTGTGTCTGGTGTGTGTGTGTGTGTGTGTGTGTTCCGGTTCTGTTGTGGATCCGCGTTCAGTGCCGCCGCTGACGTAAGACGCTGCTGACGTGTGTCTGGTGTGTGTGTGTGTGTGTGTGTATTCTGGTTCTGTTGTGGATCCGCGTTCAGTGACGCCGCTGACGTAAGACGCTGCTGACGTGTGTCTGGTGTGTGTGTGTGTGTGTGTATTCTGGTTCTGTTGTGGATCCGCGTTCAGTGCCGCCGCTGACGTGTGTCTGGTGTGTGTGTGTGTGTGTGTGTGTGTATTCTGGTT